CTGGGCTCAGGCAATTCTCCTGCCTCAGCCTCCTGAGTAGCTGGGATTACAGGCACGCGCCACCATGCCCAGCTATTTTTTTTGTATTTTTAGTAGAGACGGGGTTTCACCATGTTGACCGGGATGGTCTCGATCTCCTGACCTCGTGATCCACCCGCCTCAGCCTCCCAAAGTGCTGGGATTACAGGCTTGAGCCACCGCGCCGTTATGATGAGGAAGGCCCTTGTCACTCTAGTCCCTAGCAGGTGAGAGGCGGGAGGCCTCAAGTGGGAACGTACCTACGGCCGAGGGCACCGGGGAACCCGAGCCATATCCCCCGCCCCGTCAGGACCTCTGCCTGCATCGCCGAGGCCGTCTCCACCATCCTGGCCCCGGCAGTTTCGCTGGGCGAAGCCCCGCTTCTCCCTTCTGCTCCCGGAGACACCCCCGGGGCGCGGACCTGGAGGACTTGAAGCGCCTGGAGCCGTCCCATTCGCCTCCTTCTGAGCAAGCAGAGAGCGGTCCAGGCCGGGAATGGGGCTGCGCAGAGGTCAGGCGGCCGCGCGCCCGGCCGGAGCCTGCTCTGGGGGTCGCGGGGATGCCCCGGGAGGTGGGCACCCAGACCTGGGCGCGCACGGGCGCAGGTGTGGGGAGGGCGCGGCGGCTCCTGGCCGGTCCTAGGGGCTTGCGGGACCCAAGGACTCGCGGGCGGGGCCGGGGGCGCGGCGAGGCCGGGCGGGGGCGGGGCCGCGCCGGGGGAAGCCGCCCGCCCGCGGGGCCGCCTGCACCGCGAGGGTTAAGGCCCGGAGCCCGGCGGGGCGGGGGCGGTGCGCGCGCGCGGATTGGGGAAAAGTTTGGCGGCGGGGCGGGGCGCGGGGCGGGCCGACGCGCGCGGATTGGCCGGAAGTTGTGCCGGGGGCGGGGCGCGCGGCGGGCTCGGCGCTCGCTCCGGGAGAGTTGACAAAGCCCCGCAGGGAAGGACGCCTCGCGGCGCGGCGCCCCGGGCCCCTCGCCCCGCCGCCCCGGGACCCCGGCCCCGGACCCCCGGCCCGCGGACTCGCCCCCCGCCGCCCGCCCGGCTCGAGACCCCGCGCCCCGAGCGCCCGAGCCCGGACCCCGACCCGGCCGGAGCCGCCCTAGCCCAGGTAGCGCCGCCCCGCCCCGAGGCCGGGCCCGGGGGCGCTGGGCGGTGGGATGCGGCGTCCGGGGCGGCGATGATCGCGGAGCGCATGCTGCAGGCCTGGCCGTGACCCCGCTGCCCGCCCGCCGAGGTGAGCCCCCCGCGCGCGTCTGCGACCCCAGGTGGGCACACCGGGGAGGGTCGGGGGCCTGGGGCGGGGGCGGGGCGGGTCCGGAGCCCCCGCTGTGCGGCCGCTGGGCACGGGTCACGAGCGCCGCCACCGCCGCTCCCGCAGGCCCCCGGCCTGCCCCGCCCCCGCGCCCCACGTCCCACGTGGGCCCCCCAGCGCAAATTTGTCCGCTAATGGCGCAGGCGATTATCTGCGGGGTGCTGGGTGTTGTGTGTCCTGCGGGCAGAGCCGGAGTTACAAGTGCCAGGAATCCAGACGGTGTTTGGAGCGGGAGGGAGGCGGGGGAGCCTGGTAATTAGTGTAAACCCTTTGTCTGCCTTTGATACCCACAGCTTCTCCCCGCAGCGGCTTCCTCCGCCTGGAGCGCGGGCGGGGAGGGCCTGTGGGGGGGACCAGACCCCTGATCGCCGCTGCCGGGGACTGGGGTGGTGGCAGCTCTGGGGCCCCGGGCCCGGGCCGGAGGGCAGTATCTTCCAGTTCTGCGCCTGGGTGACTGCGCCCCCAATGCCCCCAGGTCCGGACAGGCCGAGATGACGCCGAGCCCCGCGTTGCTGCTCCTGCTGCCGCCGTTGCTGCTGGGGGCCCTCCCACCGGCCGCTGCCGCCCGAGGTGAGTTCTGGCGCCCGGCCCGGCCAGCCTGGCCTCCGCCAGCGCCGCCCCCTTCCCGCCCAGCCCTGAACCCTGCCACAGTGCCCGCCTGGCACGCGCCGTGCCGCGCCCCTGCCGCTCCACTCACCAAGCCCCTGTCCCTCCAGGGCCCCCTCACCCACAGGCTGTCCACAGCACCCACCCGCGCTCCCGCAGCTGGCTGGAGGGTCCCTCTCACTCCCTCACTCATACTTGCTGGCCAGATGGGCTCTAGCCCTGGCCCACCAAGACAGGCTCCTGGTCTTGCAAACACTTTCACACTCATACCTGCAGCCCAGGGCAGATGGTCACCTGTGGATTCTTGGGGAGTGGGCTGTTTGTGGCCACAGTGGACCCAATTAGGACTCTGGGAGCCTGCAGAGACCCCCACAGAGGCCAGGATGGGCATTGGGAGATATTGGTGACATACTTGGTGTCCGGGACTGAAACTGACACGCACACCCCCAGTTCCCCAGTTCCCTAGTCCCCCAGCCAACCTAGCTGTGCTCCCTGGGCCTCACCATCCCCAGGCAGGTGGTGCAGGGTGGAGGCTGTATGGACAAGTCCCCAGAGCCATACGCACCCCAGGACTGCGTGCCTGTGGGCACCCACTGCACCATGGCCTGGTGTGTTCTCACACCTCCGACCTCCAGGTGGGCAGCCATGCCCCAGGTCCCAGCCCCAGCAAGGGCATCTGGACTTGATGGGTGATGTGTGCCTGCAGACTCCTGCCCGCCATGTTCCAGGATCTGG